ATAAAGAAAAATTGGATATCAAATTGGGGAGGAGGAGTATGGAAGAAGTGAATGTTTTCAGATACTTGGGAGTTGACGTGTCGGCGGATGGATTTATGAAGGATGAGGTTAATCATAGAATTGATGAGGGAAAAAAGGTGAGTGGTGCGTTGAGGTATATGTGGAGTCAAAAAAATGTTATCTATGGAGGCAAAGAAGGGAATGTATGAAAGTATAGTAGTACCAACACTCTTATATGGGTGTGAAGCTTGGGTGGTAAATGCAGCAGCGAGGAGACGGTTGGAGGCAGTGGAGATGTCCTGTTTAAGGGCAATGTGTGGTGTAAATATTATGCAGAAAATTCGGAGTGTGGAAATTAGGAGAAGGTGTGGAGTTAATAAAAGTATTAGTCAGAGGGCAGAAGAGGGGTTGTTGAGGTGGTTTGGTCATTTAGAGAGAATGGATCAAAGTAGAATGACATGGAAAGCATATAAATCTATAGGGGAAGGAAGGCGGGGTAGGGGGCGTCCTCGAAAGGGTTGGAGAGAGGGGGTTAAAGGAGGTTTTGTGGGTAAGGGGCTTGGACTTCCAGCAAGCGTGCGTGAGCGTGTTAGATAGGAGTGAATGGAGACGAATGATACTTGGGACCTGACGATCTGTTGGAGTGTGAGCAGGGTAATATTTAGTGAAGGGATTCAGGGAAACCGGTTATTTTCATATAGTCGGACTTGAGTCCTGGAAATGGGAAGTACAATGCCTGCACTTTAAAGGAGGGGTTTGGGATATTGGCAGTTTGGAGGGATATGTTGTGTATCTTTATATGTGTATGCTTCTAGACTGTTGTATTCTGAGCACCTCTGCAAAAACAGTGATAATGTGCGAGTGTGGTGAAAGTGTTGAATGATGATGAAAGTATTTTCTTTTTGGGGATTTTCTTTCTTTTTTGGGTCACCCTGCCTCGGTGGGAGACGGCCGACTTGTTGAAAAAAAAAAAAAAAAAAAAAAAAAACTTCTAAACTGTTGTATTCTGAGCACCTCTGCAAAAACAGTGATTATGTGTGAGTGAGGTGAAAGTGCTGAATGATGAAGAAAGTATTTTCTCTTTGGGGATTTTCTTTCTTTTTGGGTCACCGTGCCTCGGTGGGAGACGGCCGATTTGTTAAAAAAAAAAAAAATGATAGGTAAATATTATTTACTGATAGTAATAGTATAATTATACAATAACAAATTTAGAAGCAGTGCTTTGAAGCAGGGTCTAGACCAGCTGATGATGCCTTACAGTCAGCTGTGTAATGTACTGCAAGGTAAAAGAGCCCAGAGATCAATTACAGAATTTATGCACACTCCAATACAACCATCGACTTCAATATCAGAACCTCTACCATTCACTTCTGCTGAAAACCAGCACCCATCCACCGCAGCCCAGTAGGGCCACACCATCCATATCCACTCTCTTCACAATCATCCACAAACACCATTACCCACAATTTAAGGTAAATATTATTATTTCTATTGCATTTGTAGTCTTATGCAGTAATATATCACGACAGTGCACTACAATTACATATTCACTTTTACTTTGTAAGATCTGGAGGTCTAAAAAAATGTTGTTTGGCTTTTTTGGGGGCTCCCAGGAACGTAACCCTATTTTCCCCACAAGATTCTTCAGTTTGTCTGACACGGTTTTGACTGACACAGCGTTTTCAGGAACGTAACTACTGTGTTAAACGGCGGTCTACTGTATACACAACACAAATAAGACAAGGATAAAATAAACCAACAATATAAGCTATAAATTTAAACACTCAACACAAATAAATACAGTTGACCTTGGTTAACATGTGACCTGTTAACACTTTCACATTAACATGATTGCAAAATTGAAGCATATTTTTGGTGATCACGTTGTATAAGTTTACAGGGCAGAGTGAGCCTATGAGCAAGTCCACTGTCCTACGGGGAAAGCCTATGTAATGTACAGTACACAACCTCCCTTGCCTCACTGCTCCATTTGTACTTGTTCAATACCATACTCAGCCTGTTTTAGTAAACCATTTTTTTTTTTTTTCATCACTCTTTCTCATCTCTGGATAGTAACCATGGCACCCAAGAGTAATGCAAGTGATTCTGGAAGTACAAAACAGAAGCATAAGCATGAAAGTTTTGAGGATGTCAAGAAAATTGAGATATTATATTAGCTTAAGAGAGGTGCATGTGTGATGGAGATGGCACGAACCTATGGTCTGAATGAGGCATCAATTCGCACAATTAGAAGGAAAAGGGTACCAATACGAGCTTGTGCAATGAGTAACCCAGATTGTGACCTCCTGAAAAATGAAAAATAGGTCACAACAAATATGACAAAAAAGTTATTGAGTGGATTAAGCAAAATACTAAGAAAGGTGCACCATTTAATCTCATTTTAATAAGGGAAAAAAGTCTTAAGAGTTCTATAAAAGTGTGATGAGGAATGAAGGCCTGAATAAGAATGATTGTTCAATACAGGCTGTTTCCACAAGTTTAAAACTATACAGTCAGCTGCATAATATTAATCATTTCAGTTGCCATCATTTAGAACTATGTCACTGAAGTCAAGGTCCCTCACACAGTTCTATGTCATAAATTCATCTCATGAAGATAAGCCGTGAGCAGTAAATTTTGGCCTAGATATCATAGAGTGGGTAGGTGTGGTGAATGTGCATAGTATTAAAAAAAATCCTGCCCCACATGTTGCATGATGGGAGAACAAAACTCTGATAATGTGTATGGTTTAACCCTTTCAGGGTCGAGACCCCTAGATCCTGAACTTGCTCTCAGGGTCAAAAAATTAAAAAAAAAAAAAAAATAATAATTTTTTTCTCATGAAATGATAGAAATCTTTTTCTGATGGTAATGACACCAAAAGTATGAAATATGATGGACAACTTATGAAATTATGCTTTAGCAAAGTTAGTGGTCTCAATGATATTTGCGCATCGGCGATTTCGCCCACTTGAGCCCTATTTTCGGCCAATTCCAATGTTCCAGTCAACGAAAATCATGGCTATTTCGCTAGAACATCATTTGTTCTATTGAATGAGTTCAAGAAACTGCCCATTTACCTACACCAACTACCCAATGAAGCGGTAAAAAATAGGTAAAATAGTCAATTTCACACAAATTTAAAAAATTGCCAATTTCAAAACAGAGTCCAAAGTAAACAAGACAGACATTCCTGGCACTAATAACATTTTCTCCATTCATTAGTCAGTCTCCAGGCCCCTCTTATATTACTCTTGTTTTCTACATTGAATTTCTATTCTCACAAAAAATAGAAGATTTACTTTTATGCAGACTACTGCATTATTGTAAAAATGGTATAAATAATATCAGTGCACTTGTGAAACAATGTCAGACTCACTAGTTGATGTGTATTGGACGTGTGGCGTGATTTGTTTACTCTTAAACATTGGCAAAACTCGGACATTTCTGCTACTTTGAGCTCAATTTGAAGGTACTTTTCATCATGAAACCAATCAAAATCATCTCCATTTCTGTAATATATCTTCCATTCTATCAAATGTGACAAGAAAACAAGAAGACAACCATAAATACCATACGAAAATACACTGCAAAGTCACTGTTTTAAACCAAAAACGTGGTCGGAGTTTTTTTCTCATTATGCACTGCGTGCTGCAGAATTTTTTTTATACTGCGCACAATGACCATGCAGACCCATTCTTTCATATGTAGGCCTACTAGCTTTCTTCCGCTCAATTTGAAGGCGCTAGAATTTACACGTACAAGTACAGCCCCGACCCTGGCTCTCAAGCCGTACAAGTATAGCACCGACCCTGAAAGGGTTAAAATAGTGAATCTGAGGTGCATTTTAGGATGGCTGTTACAGCTGTACTGGCCATTTCTTTGTATCATTTGATAGAATGGAAGATATATTAATGAAATATACATGATTCTGGGTGGTTTCAGAACCAGAAGTAGCTTGAAACTTGGTTCAGAGCAGCAGAAATATCTGATTTTTGCAAATTTTCCTGAGGATAGGTAAGGCCCCTCCTATACACCCAGTCTATTTTATGAGTTTTAAATATGTCTGGTTCAGTTAGTGGGAGACCATAAACCATGACCAATCATTCCTGGTTATATTTTATTATCTGGGAAACAGAGTAAGTTTTTTATTTTTGCGTGATTATGAATTCAAATTAAAAGTCAAGTGCAATATAGGAGAGGCCTGATGATATGATAAATGAACAGAGGAAATGCTTTAGTGCCAGGACTGTTTACATTGTTTATTTTGCACTCAGTTTTTAAACTGATATTTTTTTTAATTTGTGTAACATTAGCCAAATTACCAACTTCTGTGCACTTTATATGGTAGTTGTAATAGTTGAATGGGTAATTTCTTGTGCTTAACTGATATAATGGAAAGCATACTAGCGAAATACATAACTTAGAATTTGGTCGAACTGAGCACTGGAACTGCTTAAAATATGACTCTAATACAGCTAAATCACCAATGCATACGTTGCACCTAGACTGCTAACAACACACTTGTGTAATTCCACAAGTTTTCCATCAAATTTTATACTTTTGGTGTCAAATGCTTTCAAAAAACAGATTCTCTACCATTTCAGAAGAATTTTTTTTTTTTTTTTTGAATGGGCACTGGGAACAATATTAATTTCTGGGGTCTAAACAGTGAAAGATTAAGGGAAGAACATCAGCTGAAATCATGATGGTTATGGTTGATGAGGCAAACCAATGTCAGTTAGGAAATCAAAGAAAAGTCTGCAGCAAAAGTAAGACCATCAGAGAGGGCAGACACTTGGGCACTAATATAACACAACAACAAGAGCAACAAAGGATGGGTAGATGCAAAGGAGGCTGAACTGGGAACACTAGAAAACATTAGACCATGTTAGGAGTAGAAGAGGTAGGTATAAGGAAGGAAATAGGTGTGACTTATTCCAGGTGGATCCACCTTCTGCCAGGACCTCACAAGAGACACAAGACCAGTCATTACTCACCCACCAGTTGTCTCAGCATTATCAACACACAAGACTATGTCATATTCCTCAGGAAGAAAAGTAAAATGAGAGAAATCCTTCACATTGTCTTTCTTCTTTGAAGTTAACATTTGAGAACTGAATCCATGTTTAACAGATGATGTAGAGTTACCAGCCTTTCCTCTAGATATATTTTCTGAAAAAAAAAAATTAAACCATTTACCTTTAGAACAAAGTGAGGATATACAGTGTCTAATAATTATTACAATATTGTATTTACATTTATAAAATTCCAAGGATAATGGAGGGTGGGTACACGAGGGAAGAGGAGCAATTAGTCAATGATGAGTGAGAGAGGGTAGTAAGGGAGAATAAGTTGGTTTATAAGAGGTTTTCACATACAGAAGTGATATATGGAGGGTGGAGTATACTGAAAGTAAAAGAGGTTAAAAGAATGGTGAGAAAATATTAGGGGAGAGCAAATGAAAGTGGGCAAGGTGAGGTTTTTTTCAACAAATTTTGCTGAGAATAAGAAAAAGCTTTTAAGTGAGATCAGTAGGTTGAGAAAACCTAAGGAACAAATAGACTTAACAGATAAAAAGAGGAGAGTTATTAGATGGGAAGTTGGATGTATTGGAAAGATGGAGAGAATATTTTGAGGAGCTGTTAAATGTTTAAGAGAGGAAGGTAGTGATGTCATGCTTTCATGCAATAGGCAGGGAGGTGTAACATTTTTAGGAATGATGAAGAACCAGATGCGATGTGAGGGAGGTGCATGGGGCAGTAAGTAGAATGAAAGGGGGTAAAGCAGCCAGGATATATAAGATCAAGGCAGAAATGTTACAACAGGTGGAAATCTAGTATTGGAGAGGTTGGTGCATTTTTTCCATAAATGGCAGAGAACATATACAATTCCTTTGTATAAGGGAATGAGGGATAAAAGTGTAAGAAATATAGGGGAATACGCCTACTGAGTATACTGGGTAGAGTTATTATTGAAAGAATTAAGAGTAAGACAGAGAGTAGGATTGCATACATGTACGTAAGTGTATGTGTACTCATCTATATGTGGTTACAGTCACTGCAACTACACATAGGCTGCTACTAGGTCCACTCTCTCCTGGCTTCAAGAGCCTTATCACACCTCTTCTTGCCTCTACCACTTCACTCACCAGGCTGTTCCACTTCCTGACAACTCTAAAGCTGAATAAATACTTCCTAACATCCCTAAGACTCATCTGAGTTTTCAACTCCTAGCTATGCCCTCATATTCCTGTTTCCCATCTCTCAAACAATGTCAATTCCCCTCAGTAATTCATATGTTGTTTTCAAATACCCCTTATTTCTCCTGTCCTCCAGTGTCATCAATAGAAGTTTCTTTAACCTATCTTCTGGAACTAGTCTTACTGTAAATCATTGCACTTTCTCCAGTTTCTTGATATGCTTGATCAGATGTGGGTTTTATACTGTTGCTGCATCCTGCATATACAACACTGTACACCATGTACCTTCTTGGCCACTAACAAACAGCTTAATTTCTATTATGTGGCATACTGTACAGTATATATATATATAGTTATGGTAATTGACATGCATAAACTACTTAGAAGAGAGAAGCTTATGACGATGTTTCGGTCCGACTTGGACCCTTTACAAAGTCACACTAACTAGAAGTGGAGCAGGACGGCTGTATATGGGGGGGGGGGAGGAGGAGGAGGAGGAGGAGGAGGAGGAGGAAGAGGAGGAGGAGGAAGAGGAGGAGGAGGAGGAGGAGGAAAAGGAGGAGGAGGAGGAGGAGGAGGAGGAGGAAAAGGAGGAGGAGGAGGAGAAGGAGGGAGGAGGAGGAGGGAGGAGGAGGGAGGAGGAGGGAGGAGGAGGGAGGAGGGAGAGGAGGAGGGAGGGGGGAGGGGGAGGAGGGAGGAGGAGGGAGGAGGAGGGAGGAGGAGGGAGGAGGAGGAGGGAGGAGGAGGAGGGAGGAGGAGAGGGAGGAGGAGGAGGAGGGAGGAGGAGGGAGGGAGGAGGAGGGGGGAGGAGGAGGGAGGAGGAGGAGGGAGGAGGAGGAGGGAGGGGGGAGGAGGGAGGGGAGGAAGGGAGGGGAGGGAGGAGGAGGGAGGAGGAGGGGGAGGAGGAGGGAGGAGGAGGGGGGAGGAAAGGAGGGGAGGAGGAGGAGGGGGGAGAGGGAGGAGGAGGAGAAGGAGGAGGAGGAGGAGGAGGAGGAGGAGGAGGAGGAGGGGAGGAGGAGGAGGGAGGGAGGGAGGAGGGAGGAGGGGACGGGAGGAGGACGGGAGGAGGACGAGGAGGAGGCGAGGAGGAGGAGAAGGAGGACGAGGGGAGGACGAGGAGGAGGGGGGGACGAGGAGGAGGACGCAGGGGAGGAGGGGGGGAGTTCGTTTTTTTAATTTTTTTTTTTTTTTTTTTTTTTTTTCCAAGGGAACCAAACCCAAAAAAATTAATAAAAAAACGCTCTCCTGGGGGGGGATGTTGAAGGCAATAAACCAATTGGGGAACGGGAGCACAAAACCCAATTCCCATCAACAGACCCCCACCACACAAGGAACCCCTTGGGGGGAATAATAATAAAATAATAATAATAGGTAATAATAAGTACCCTTGAAGCATGATGAGATAACATCTGATAAAAGCTGACATTTGGTGGGCATACATGAGGGTGGGGGAGGGTGCAGCTGATAATAAAAGGTTAGAGGTGACATTTGATGAGCATCGCTGTCACTTTGTTTTCGCTGGTACACAAACATGTCTGTCTGTCTATTTGTCTGTCTGTCAAGCTCCCTGTCTATCTGTCTAGCTCTCTGTCTCAGAGAGAGCCACAAGACTGAGTCATCATAACGTTTACTCACATTTTCAAGCAGAGTATAGTACTGTCTGGAGTTTTTAGGTTATCCTAGGTAATTTACATTATGTATACTTGTATTTATGTGTACCTGTGAGACAGAGATAGACAGACAGAGAGACAGATTGAAAAAGATACAGAGACAGACAAGGACAGATAGAGACAGAGACAAAGATAGACAGACAGAGGTAGACAGAGACAGAGATAGACAGAGATAGATAGAGACAGACAGAGGAAGACAGAGATAGACATAGACAGAGATATAGAGATAGACAGACCCTAAACTTCAAATTCAAAGTTTATTCTCTATAAGGATTACAATGCTGAGTTTACAGAATTTGGTTATTGTGTGGTTTACATGTAGTAAAATAATAATTACAGAGTGTACCACTAGAACACCTAGCATGGCTAGGCATTTCGGGCAGACTTAAATTAAATCTTAAGTTTAAAATATTACAAACTTGGGGTTAACATCACTTTCTTCTTAAAAGAGGAGTGTTAATATGACATTACACCAGTGAATCCTTGGTGTCTGCCGCACTGTTTGCTCTAGCTGGCACTCAATTTAACTGGCGCTCCCACAAGGTACTAAGTGGTCCCAGATTTTTAATACCGCACACACTGAGTGCTAGGACCCATTCTATGCTGACAAGGCATCTCAGGCCAATTGTGCCAAATTTGAAGGTAGGAAAAATAAAACGTATATATATGTTTGGGGCGCTACGCATAATAACATATATATACGTTTGGACCGTTTAAGGGTTAAGTCAGGCCAACATGAAAATATCAAGACCTAAAGAGCTTCTCAGATTTATTGTTCAGTATGGAGATGAGAACATCTTCCCCAATCTTTGCATTGCTATTCAGATAATGCTTACCATTGCAGTTTTCATTATCAGCTGTGAGAGATCATTCAGCAAGTTAAAACTAATACTTTTACATTTGAGAGCCTGAAAAAAGCTGAATCTAAGCACATCATAGACCAATTTGCATCAGTGAAAGCAAGAGAGTGCAGTTGTAATTTTCACACAGTGCCATAATTTGTTAATTAAAAGATTAGCGAGCTTGACTTGTATTTTTGAGCTGGTTTTGTGGTAAAGTTATCTAAAAGATGGGTGCCAGATGTTCAGACAGAGGCACAATTTCAGTGCTTGCCATAGCCACTATTTTCCATAGATACCCCCATTTCCATAATCTCACTCACTGTCTTTCCTGCTAGTTTTCATTCAAACTACACCTCATACAGGAACTACTTCATGCCAGTGCAGTCCCCTCTTTTGAAGTCTGGCTTCTCACATCCTTTCCGTGCTGCTTCTCTCTCCACTCTTACTTCTACAAGGTATATGAAACTCGGGACTGTGTGACTGCTAGCACCGAGGGACCTTTCATAAGTAATATCCCCTATGTCAGAACCACTCAGGGTGAATACAAGGTAGAGCCTTGCTGGTTCATTGTCTCTTCTTTCTCTGGTTGTCTCTCTTAACATGTTGGTACATGAAGTTCTTCATTACCATCTCCAGCATCTTAACCCTCCATGTTTCTGGTCCCCCATGTGGTGCTAAGTTCTCCTAGGCAATGTGTGTGTATGTGCATGCATGTACTAGTGCATGCAGGGCCCAGAACCTTAGTAATTAGTTGTAAAAAGAGTACTTCTTTACTAAGGCATTCCTGCCTCACAGGTATTGTGCTGATCATTGCTCATCATGTCACAAAATAAGAAGAGATGCTACTGGGAAGATTTCATCCAATATGGATTTTCCTACATTGTGAAGGATGACAGTTTCCTCAATGCATATGCCACAAAGTCCTAGCAAATGATGCCCTAAAACAATTTCAACTAAAAGCAGCATCTTGAATAGTCTTACTCAAGGTTAGTTCAAAAAGAATCACTCATATTTTAAGTAGAAATCCAATGAGTTGAAGCGAGTGAGGGTAAATGGCAGTGGATCCAACAGATTTCAAAGATTACTACACATGCAACATATATAAATGCTCAGTATACAGCCTTGGATAAAAAGGCTCAAACAACTGGAGAAACCATGATCATGCCATGTATCTTTGTTAGTGCAGTTAACAAACTGAAGCAGATCCTGCTGTCAATAGCACTTTCAAGTCACAGATAGATAATATGGCTCACAACATTAAATATCAAGGAGTGCCAAGAAAAAATCATCACAGTACTTTGCCATTCAGTTGATAAAGATCTGCCAATTGACATGGCAAATCTTTTTAAACTTCTCATTTTTGTCTTATATGTTGACAGTCAAGGTATCAGAGAACTTCCTGTTTTGTCATCCATTAACCATGACAACAAAAGGAGAGGATGTGATAGAAGTAATTTCAATTTTTCTTTGATAAAGAAAGACTACTATCAACAGATGCAACTGGAGAATACAGAGAGTGGCCCAGCAATGTTGGGGCTTCAGCCTAGATTTTTGGCACTTGTCAAAGGTAAGAATTCTACAGTGGTTGGTATACACTGCATGATTCACAGAGAAGCTCTTCCTTCCAAGACATTAACAGCAGTCCTGCTTGCTCGCTTAGAGACCATCACCAAAACAGTCAAGCTCTGCTGTTAAACAAACAATTCCACTGACTGAAAGGGTAACATGCTCACTCAATTCCATAAGTTTAGTGAAGAAGTGAAGACTTTCCTGTCCAGTCACAATAATGACGATCTACTCACCAAGATGAAGGTGACAGAATTTCGGGCTCATTTGGAATATCTGGCAGACATAGTGAAAGCATAAAGTTCATGACAGCATTGCCCTGGATGCACGGATGTATCTGTTTGAATGACACACTGAACTTTCATATATCTCTGAATTAATTTTAATTTTTTTTCATACATTTTTCATATAGTTTTCTTTCTATGAGTGTTATTAACTAATAAAATAATTATTACCAAGGTTTGTTTTAATTTAACATTGTGTAAATAAATGAAAACACTATGGTTAAGAGTGAAGTTTAAATGGGGAGGGATATCATTACAGATTTTTTGGCAAAAGTAGAGAATAACCTGGAAAAGGTTGGGAACCCATTTGTTAGATCAGTGTGGAGTGAATATCAAGCAGAGAATTTGGAGTGTAGAAACTAAAAGATGGTGTTTGGTCACAAAGGATATACAGTGGAACTTTGGTTTTCATTTGCCCTGGTTGTCACTGAATGGGGAAGTGGAACAGAATTCTTCCTCCATAAGCCATGCGTCTCGTAAGAGGTGACTAAAATGCCGGGAGCAAGGGGCTAGTAACCCCTTCTCCTGTATATATTACTAAATGTAAAAGGAGAAACTTTCGTTTTTCCTTTTGGGCCACCCCGCCTCAGTGGGATACGGCCGGTGTGTGAAAGAAAGAAAGTCACTGAATGCAGTTTTCAATGACTTTTCCATCAAAATTTTGTCCCAGCTTTCGTTCATCACCTCGGTTTTCGTCAGTCCACTGTACCGAACGTGTCCACCTGCCGCGCCCACACAAAGCATCCCACACGTTCTGAGTCAGTCCGGCTTTGTTTCTCATCGAGTGAGCATTACCTTGTGCATTCATAATAATCCATTGTGTTTGGTGCTAGTTTATTGAGTGCAAATGCAAAATAAGCCACCATGGGGCCAAAGAAAGTTTTGAGTGCCAGCCCTTTGATAAAGAGGGCGAGAAACACGATAAAAGTCAAGAAAGAACTCATAGCAAAGTATGGGATTGGATGTGAGTGGTCAGGATGTGGAAAAGTTGGTGGATGACCATAGGGAAGAGCTAACCACTAAAGAGTTGCAACACCTCCAACTGGAACAGCAACAGATTGCAGCTGAGGAAATTGCTGCAGAGGAGGAGGAAGAGAGAGGGAAGGATGTGCCTTCTTCAGTGATTAAGGACATGTGTGCAAAGTGAAGCGAGTTGCAAGTTGCAAAGTTTTGTGGCGAAGCATCACCTAACAAATCTGTTGTTGCAAGCTGTGTCTGCAACATGTTCAAAGACAATGCCTTGTCCCATTTAGGCTCAGAAACAGACCTCTCTGGACAGATTTTTTTTGTGTGACAGGGGTCCAGTATCAGTAAAAAACAAAGATGGGAAGTAACCCCGGATAGGGACTTGATACCTTAAGTCCTTATGGAGGGGGATTTCCCTTCCAACCAATAACCTCTCCTCCTCTCTCTCCCCTCCTCGTGTCTTCCATACGCCAACAAGAGTCTTCAATAAAGGTAAAAGTGGTATTAAATGTTCATTTATCCATTTCATTAGTCCTTTATATTTATTTCTCATTGTTTTTTGTATGTAAAACTATAGTTATTCTCTATAAAATGCATTTTTTGTTAATACTTTTGGGTGTCTGGAATGGATTAATTGGATTTATATTATTCCTTATGGGAAATATTGCTTCAGTTTTCATCGAATTCAGTTTTCGTTAGACTTTCTGGAACAAATTAATGACGAAAACCAAGGTTCCACTGTAATACAGAGGGCTCAGAAGGGGTTGTTGAAGTGGTCTGGGCAGTCAGAGAAGATAGACAGGGACAGGATAATAAAGGTGTAAAAGTCTGGAGTGGAAAGAAGGAGGGGTAGGGGTTGTTCCAAGAAGGGTTGGAGGGAGGGGGTAAAGGAGGATTTGAGTTTTAGGAGCTTGAGCATCCAGCAGGCTTGTGTGAATGTGTTAAATAGGAGTGTGAACAGAGTAACTTTTATGAAGCGATTCAGGGAAACCAGTTAGCTGGACTTGAGACCTGGAGGTGGACAGTATAGTGCTGCACTCTGAAGGAGGGATAGGGAGAGTGCAGCCAGAGGGCAATTTGCAATGTGATGTCAAAACACTTCTGGCAAGACAGCGAATAAATGAATGATGGTAAATGTGTTTCCTCATTTGAGTCACCCTGCCTTGGTGCAAGACACCAGTGAAGTTAAAAAATAAAAGAAAAAAGTCAATATTTAGAACAATATTAAGCGAATTCTGCAATTGTTTTATTTTGCGCAAAACGTCCAAACTTTTTTATGATAGGTTGGGTGAGGTTCAGTTAGGGATTAGAATAGGTTATTTTTGATAAGGTCAGCAACCTACTAAACTAGAGTGGAGAAGGCAGGAACACCTTTCATATCATCTGAAGGCCATGTAGATCAAACACTGTACCTGACATTAGCACTCATCCTATTGAATTTGAAAAAAAAAATAGAAAATATGCCCACTCATTCAGCACCTGGACTAGATTCAAGGAATTTTTTATTGACAAAAAAAGTGCAACATGCTACTTGCATGAGCACTCAGCATCCTTTATAGAAAGAGCTTAGATCTAGGTGAAGTGCCAGAGATCTTAAAGAGTGTAGACATGCTGTAGCTCCTTTGCATAAGGGAGGCAGAGGAGCCTTAGCTAAAAATTACAGGCCAGTAGCCCTAACATCCACAGCCACATCCACATTACAAATTTTACAGAAGACCACAAAACCAGTGTAGTCTTAGAGCTGGGAGATCATGCTTGTCAGTACTGCTAAACCATTACAACAGAATTACAGAGGCATTAGAAAAAACAAAATTCAGATATGGTATACATGGATTTTGAAAAGGCATTAAAAAAAATGTGATCATCCCTAGGGACCGTACAAAAAAAGAGGGGGCCCAAAGAAAATTTAACGGGGGAAAGGTAGGCAAATAAATTTTTCCCGGGACAGAATACAAATAGTAGAAAAACAAAAAACCCCTGCATTATAAGGAAAAACCTTTTTAACCTAAAAGGCACCACCCCTGGAAACCTCACCATTTGCATTTGGAAACCAAAATAAGCTTTGAAAAAAAAACCCCCGTGGAAGGCAAAAAATAAATGCAGGAAATATAAGAAAGTTTTTCCCGGGGGGCGGGGAGAAATAAAGTTTAGTATTAATTTTCCAGCTCTTAGAATGGAAAGAATAAAAACTAAAAAAGGGACACGGCATAGAAAACTCAAGAGGATAAACAAACAGATAAAAGGGAACACATAAAAGGTCTGAGAGAAATTATGTTGGATGACCTTTCTTTCGAAGAGCAAAAATTTAAAAGAAAAATGTCAAAACACCCGGAAAATAGTGCCAAGGGTGAAAACTATTCAGATCGTTTTATGCTCTTTTCCCCCTTTGGGAAACATTGCTGGGGGTTATGGACTCAGTCAAGCGGGGAAAGGGTTTATCAAGCGGGAAAACAGATACAAAAACTTTTTTTGGCCTACCCCGACCCCAATAAAAAATTTTAAAAAATACGGGAAATCCCTTTCCCTCAAAGTTCAAATTATTTAGGGCCCCCTGCTTTACAGAAATTTTGCCTTAGGGAAATTCCGCAAAATACAGCGTTTTTCAAATTATGACCAAAACCTCTATGGGGAACCCTTTTTTCTTATACACATACAGCGTGCCCCACTTGGTTTGGGGGACAAAATATCTCTATTTTTTCTGGAAACTTTCCAAAAAAATTTTAAGTGTTTTAAAAATTTAAAGCCTTTTTTTATATGAATTTTGATAATTACCTTATGTAATCTTTTCCTAAATAAAACTTACACACTGTGCGACTTTCAGGTACACATTAAAAAACATAAAACTCTTTTTACAATTGATGCCAAAATTAATAAATAATAAAAAAATCTATTGGCCCCAAAAAAAACTTTTATTTTTGTTAAATTTGACATTTTTCCCTTAATCCCCCTTGATATTTTTTCAAAAATTTTATAATAAACACAATAAACCCTAACATACAAAAATGATAAATACACTCCACAATAGAAAAAATTTTCAGAAATTTTAGAATTTTTGGGAGCCCGGGCGGCTTGTAGGAGGGACGGCAAAAATAGGTTTTCCCCTAGTCCCCAAAACCCCTCAGGAAAGTGTGTCATAAAAATATTACTTGGGGGAACTAAAAATTAAATTTCTTTTCATATGTTTCACTTTGTGTGTATTTCTTCTTAAAAAAAGATGCTCATTAAATAGGGTGTTTCTCTTTATTTTTCTACTGTATCCCAAAGTGGGGACAACCTTTTTTACACAATGTTAAAAATGTTTTTATTTTGGTATTTAAAATTCAGGGGAATGGAAAAGAAAAAGTATCAATCAAACAAAAAAGGGCACGTCCATTTGTTTACATATGTGTTGGGGGGGGTTGTGTCGGGTGGGGTGAGGGGGGTTGGGCCCCGGCTGGCTACCATTATTGTGGGTGGGGTGAGGTGGGCTGCCCCCCGGCTTTGGTACCATACTTCCCACACCTTTCTTACCAAAAAAATACGAACAAACCCTTACCCTACCTTTAAAACTACAAATATTTAAATTAATCCCTTTTAGGGTCCCCTCCCGTAATCTATGGCTTTATGTTAGGGTCCAAAACCCTAGATCTACGCCCAAAGAGCTCAGTCACCCTGATAACTGTGAGCGATAAATTTTTGGGTAGAATGAGAGAATAAACTTGTGGTTGTGTGCACCACAAAAAAAAAAATCCTGCAGCACACAGTGCATAAT